CGCACCTCACCGGCCACCCGGGCACCCGGGCACCGCCGGGCACCCGTGCACCCGGGCACCCGGGCCCGGCCAACCGAAATCGGCGCGACGCACATCACAATACATTAAAAACTTATAATAAACGATAAATAGAAAGTGAGTAAAAATAAAAACACCCTTGATTTAATTAATTATTACAATTGATAAATAAAGCTGACTCATACGTTTACTCATCCATAACCCTTTAATCCGACTTTTTTTGGACCCCTAAGAGGCATGTCTCTGATTGGGGAACAATTCGTTTCCGAATCCGGCTGGAGACCCTTATCCTCTGGGGGCCGTCCTTATTCTCGTCGTTGCTAGCCACCTCCGTGGCCTCCTCGCCTGCCCTTCGTGGCCCCCCTCGCTTACGTTTCGTGGCCCGTTTGCTGTCCTCAGTGGCCCCCCTCGGCTGCCATCGTGGCCCCCTCGCTGCCCTTCGTGGCCCCGTTGCAGCCCTTCGTGGCCCCTCGCTGCCCTTCGTGGCCCCGTTGCAGCCCTTCGTGGCCCCCTCGCTGCCCTTCGTGGCCCCGTTGCAGCCCTTCGTGGCCCCCGCTCGTTGTTCCGTGGTTGGCCCCATATGCATGCCCTTCGGTGGCCCCGCTGTCGCCCATCGTGGCCCCTCGCTGCCCTTCGTGGCCCGTTGCTGGGCGGGGGGGGGGGGGGGGGCGTGGAGTGCCCCTCAGTGGCCCCGTCCTTGCCCCCCGCGGCCCAACATGCGTATGCCCTTCGTGGCCCCCGCTCGTTCGCGCCCGTTATGGCCCCATGTGCATGCCCTTCGTGGCCCCGCTGTCGCCGTTTGTGGCCCCCTCACTGTCCTACGTGGCCCAGTTGCTACCCTCAGTGGCCCCATCCTTGCTTTCTGTGGCCCCGCATTATCTGCCCTTCGTGGCCCCCGCTCGTTCGCGCTCTTCGTGGCCCCATACGCATTTCCTTCGTGTCTCCGCTGTCGCCCTTCGTGGTCTACTTCGTGTCCTTCGTGGCCCTGCTGTCGTTCTCTCTCGCTCTCACTTTCGCTCGTCGCCGTCGCCGTCGTCGTCGCCGTTGTCGTCGTCGTCGCCGTCGTCGTCGTCGTTGTCGTCGTCGTCGTCGTCGTGGTCGGTCCCCTGTCCGTCCCTCTTTGGGTCGGGTCGACGGTCCGCGGCCGCCCCGCCGATCAGCGCTGCCGCTGGCCAGGCCGACCGTCCGCGGCCGCCCCGCGCTTGTTGCTTCTCCTACTTTTAATTGGGGCCCGGTGTTACCCTTTTTCTTGTTTTTTTTTTCTTTAGTTTTGCAGGGAAGAAAGGTATACCCCCCAACAGGGGTTCGATCGAAGACGAAAAGGGCGGGTATCGAGGGTTTGGGAAATACGCGTGATTGGACACTCGAGCATATAAGGGCGAGCAGTCTTAAGATTGTTGTTGTTGTTGTTGTTGTTGCCCTTCGTGGCCCCGCTGTCGCCATTTGCGCCCCCCTCTCTGTCCTACGTGGCCCAGATGCTACCTTCAGTGGCCCCATAGTTGCCTTCTGTGGCCCCGCATTATCTGCCCTTCGTGGCCCCCGCTCGTTCGCGCTCTTCGTGGCCCCATACGCATTCCCTTTGTGTCCCCGCTGTCGCCCTTTGTGGCCTAGTTCGTGTCCTTCGTGGCCCTGCTGTCGTTCTCTCTCGCTCTCGCCTTCGCTCGCCGTCGTCGTCGCCGTCGCCGTCGTCGTCGTCGCCGTCGTCGTCGTCGTCGTCGCCGTCGTCGTCGTCGTCGTCGTCGTCGTCGTCGTCGCCGCCGTCGTCGACGTCGTCGTCGTCGTCGTCGTCGTCGCGGTCGGTCCCCTGTCCGTCCCTCTTGGGGTCGAGTCGACGGTCCGCGGCCGCCCCGCCGATCAGCGCTGCCGCTGGCCAGGCCGACGGTCCGCGGCCGCCCCGCCGCTTGCCGGGGCCCGGCCTGCAGGGAAGAAAGGTATACCCCCCAAGAGGGGATCGATCGAAGACGAATCGGGGGGGTTATTATCGAGGTGGTGGGAAATACGCGTTATTGGACACTCGAGCAGTTAGGGGCGAACAGTCTTAAAATGAGTTGTCGCTGTTCTGGACTGTTGGTGTGGTGTTGGTGTTGTTGTTGTTGTTGTTGTTGTTGTTGTTGTTGTCTTGTGGTTGTTGTTGTTGTTGTTGTTGTTTTGTGATTTTGTTGTTGTTGTTTTTTGTTGTTGTTTTTTGTTGTTGTTGTTGTTGTTGTTGTTGTTGTTGTTGTTGTTGTTGTTGTTGTTGTTGTTGTTGTTGTTGTTGTTGTTGTTGTTGTTGTTGTTGTTGTTGTTGTTGTTGTTGTTTTCTTTGTCTCTCTATATACATGCATGGGCAGTCAAGAATCTTACGCTACGCCGCCGACCCCCTGTGCGGCTTCATTGCTTGTTTGTGGATTTTGGACCTCCTGCCTGCGGAGTTGGGGTAAAAGAGAGAGGGGTCTCGAGCAGACGAGCCATCATCAAGGTCTCGAAGCGCGGCTCTTGGGTGTCACGGCCTGGCAAGCGGCGTCTATTCGGGCAGGATCTACTGCATACTCATCCGACATGCGATCGTAGCATTATACAGCAGCATGTGTACATATACACATACATCTATACATACATACATACATGTGTATTTTTATACCCCATTATACAGCTGAGTTGTATCAGCATGTCTGTTTCGAATTACATGTCGGTTTGCATTCCCCACAGAACAATCCGCGAGACAACCACGGGACAATTCCACAGGTCAACCCACGAGTGACCCACAGGACAACCCAAAGGACAACAAACAGGGCACATCACGGGACAGCCCACGGGACAATTGGCAGGACAACAATTGGATGACCCCAGGACAACCACGGCATTAATTACCACGGCACAATTCTGCGGGGCAGCCCACTGAACAACCCGCGAGACGACCCACGGAACAACCACGGAGCAGCCCACGTAGCAACCCACAGTATCTCCCACGGGACCATTCCATTGGACAACCCGCGAGACAACCACGAGACAATCCCACAGGTCAATCCATAGGAGAGCCACAGGGTAACCCGCGGGACAACCAACTGTACGACACGGGTCAGACACTTGACATCTCACGGGACTCCCCTCGCGGGCCCTTGCGACGCACGGAGGATTTCTGTGCCCGATTCGGCTTTAGCCGCGGCCGACCCATCGTCGCCCTTGCGGAGCTTCGCCACGCCCGCACGCGCGACTCGAATATGGGGTCTCGAAGTCGATTTCCCTATTCGGGTCACCTCATTCTCACCCTGAACCTCCGATTTTCCCTTCTGGTTGACTTGCATGCTTCATATCGCGGCACAGCGCAGAGCTTGCTTTCGTTTTCTTCCGGCCGACCTGCAGGTCACGCGGATGTGGCCTCCAAGTTGGTAAACATTTATGTTGGCTTAGTTTTCGTTTCTGGGGCCAATGCTTCAAACCTTGCATCCGATACGTTTCAGCATTCGCTCTCAAGTTTTCATATTGCGAAGGCCTTACGGCTGGAGCCGCTGACCCTGAAGATGGCGACGACGAAGACAACCAAGATGAGGAAGAGCAGGAGGAGTAGGAGAATGCGGATCAGGAGGAGCACGAGGAGGAGGAGGAGGAGGAGGAGGCGGAGGTCGCTGTGGAGCAGGAGGAGGAGGAGGAGGAGGAGGAGGAGGAGGAGGAGGAGGAGACGAGGGAGCACGGGGAGGGGGAGAGCGGGCATGAGCGGGGAAATGGCGGGAAGGGAGCGACGGCGGGGTCGGCACCAGCGGGACGGTGGTGGGAGGTTTGGGAGTTTTTGTTGTCGGTAGGTTTTCGTAAGTTTTTGATCCATTCGATACTCCCAGGGCCTGCAGCAATTAGAAAGGCCTCGGGGGGTGTTCCTCCGAAGGGGGGCGACGCCGACGACGCTGACGTGGGTCAGAGTCCTCAGGGAAGCTTCATGGGGTGTCTTGGGAAGGCTGTCGGGGACCTCTGGGGAGGAATCTTGGCGTCTTGGGAGGCTCTTGGAGCCTCTTTGGGGCCTCGTCGGGCTTCCTGAGGGATTCTTCGGGGTCTCTTGGGACCTCTTGGAAAGCTCTTGAGGCTTCCTGGGAGCTTCTCGGGGCCGAGGGCTCGAAATGTCCGTTCGGGTCCCCCGTCCGTCTGGGCACGCTCTTGGAGCTGTCTTTGGGGCCTTTCGGGCCGTCTGGAGGCGTTTTGGGCTGTCTTGGGGTTCTCTTGGGTTATTTCGGAGCGCTCTTGGAAGCCTCGCGGGCCGTCTCGGAGCGATCTTGAGGGTGCTTTCAGCTGTTGTGGAGCGGCGGGAAGCGGAAAAGGCGAGAACGCCGAAATCATGTCAAAACCTAAGGAACCGCAATTAATTTTCTCTCTTGGGCTTGGGGCCCTCTCGGGAGTGCCCTTGGAGGCTTCTTGGTTGTCTTGCAGGTTGCCCGGGCAGTCTGGACAGCGCGAAGCCGATTTGAATTGATCTTCTTGCGATTCGGGAATCTCTTGGACCGTCTCGGGGGCATCTTGGGGCATTCTTGGCTTATCTTGATATTTTTTGTGGCCCCAGGACTCCCAGGGGATCCGCGGAATGCGCAGAGGCGGATACGTATCTGACCCGGGACCCTCCCCCTGGACCCCCGCCCCACCCCCCCGCGCTTCCCCGAGGAGGGATCAAAGGGAAGGGGCTTCCCTTCGATTCGATTAGGGCAATGTAAGTCGTATGTTATAAGAAAGTGGTACATAGTTCGAAGGGAGAGCTGACTGGCGTGAAACGGCATGATGCAAAGAAAATGGACCACGGAGAGAGAGCTCTTCGCACACGCCGACAGGGCCGGCGGATTGTTTGTGCAGCTTCCAAGTTGTCAGCGTTTGATGGCCTAGAATGCAGATTTCGGGGCCCGCATCTTTGAAACAGTTCAGAAGGATCAGGGCGAGTGCCCCGGCCGTGACTTTCTCACGATGTCGGTGCTCACTCCTCCCTGCTGTTGCGGCGCGTCGATTCGAGCTTGCTGCCGGAGCCGAAGGAGTGCTTCTACTCCGCCGTGGCCGACGCCAGCGGCGACTCCTGCCTGGTGGACTCGACGGCCGCGGGGGCCCCAGGGAACTCCTGCGAGCTCGGTCGCTCGTTGGTCCAGGTTCTCACATGGCGTCGTCCTCCTTGAGAATCGAGGACCGAGGAATTGGGGTTATGGATTTCTTTTGCCATTTCTGGTGCTCTGGATGCTTCCGAATGAAAGGCCCTTTCTAGCAGCTCGGTCACGGCGCCGTGCAGCGCATTGACGCTTCAGGGGCTTGTCAGGCCTCTCAGGCGGCCGCTGGCAATGGGAAGATGCTGCGAGAGTCTTGGACGGGGGTGCCGATTTCGTCCGGCTGGCGTGCGAGCGTGCACGGTGAAGTTGACTTTTGAGGGCCATCACCTTGCCACTGGACTACCTCTGCAAACGTTTATGATCCTGCTGCCTTACTCGGTTCTGGCTCCCTCAATTCGATTCGGACGATTGTTGCAGACACTTTGGCGAGGAGGCATGACTTTTCAGTTGCTGCGTGGTTGAACCAGTCGCGCAGAAAACTAGTAACAATAGCCACTCGGTGCCAACCAGGAGGGCGTATGCGCAGATCCTTGAACCAGGATGGGCCTGGCCAGGGTCGGTGTAGATGTATAATTGGCGCCCCCCGCCCAGAACATTCGAAAACATCGTCCTCATCATGGTCGCCGTCGTCGTCGTCGTCGTCGTCGTCGTCGTCGTCGTCGTCGTCGTCGTCGTCTTCCAGGGACGGCGCCGAGGGCGGGGGCAACGGGCCAACCGGGCCAGATCACGTGCCGCACCGACGTGGCGGCTCTGGGGATGGACCACTATGACCTCATATGCGGGTGCCGCAACCCACAGGCGCGCGGCCAAGTGAGGGAGGAGGAGGGCTGAACATTGGGAAGCGGAGGAGGGGGAGGAGGAGGAGAAGGAGTCGGAGTTGGAGTTGGAGGAGGACGAGGAGGAGGAAAATGAGGAGGAGGAGGAAGGAGGAGGAGGATGAGGAGGAGGAGGAGGAGAGAGGAGGAGGAGGGGAGAAGGAGAGGAGGTGGAGGAGGAGGAGAGTTGGAGGGATTGGGAGAGGAGGAGGAGGAGGAGGAGGAGGAGTGGAGAGGAGAAGAGAGGAGGAGGAGGAGGAGGGAGAGGAGGAGGAGGAGGAGAGAGGAGGGGAGGAGGAGGAGGAGGAGGAGGAGGAGGAGGAGGAGGAGGAGCAGGAGGAGGAGGAGCAGGGAGAAGGAGGGGGGAGGAGGAGGCTCGTAGCCATTTTGGCTCAAATGCCATTGGAGCTTGATCGCTGCCATGGGGGCTGGCCCGGAATCCCGCAGGTTTTGTAAAATTCAGGATCCACTCCGGAGCCGCCTGGCGTAGAGATTTTTGTTTTTTGCCTCGTTCCTAAGTCATTTCTGCGGGTGCCGCTATCAGGTAGCGAGTGGGAGAGACGTGCTCATGGATCGCAAGGACTCGGCGGCGAGCGAGGGGGGGAAGTGAGAAGAGAAGAGGCCCTCTCAGAAGGCGGCGGGGCTTCTCCCAAGCCCTCCGGTTTTCGAGAGGTTTTCTGTGTCTTCGGGGAAGGCTGAGAGAATTTCTTAGAAGGTCGGGGGACTTCCGAGCCTTCTTAGAAGGCCCGCTCTCTCTCTCTCTCTCTCACTTCCCCTCCCAGGCTGGCCGCCGAAAGACAGCAGGCGTTGTTCAGCGCCCTGGATGCAATAGTCGCCGTCCCGAAGTCCCCGTCGCAGGAGCATGCCACCCCGCCAACTCGTCCCCGCGCCAGGCCCAAGTGTGGTCCTGGCGCTGGTCGGAGCTGCAGTCGGTCTGCTGCGGCTGTCGCCCCTGCTGCCGAAGATGGATCTGAAGATGAAGAGTGCTTTGATTGTGCTCCGGGTGAGGAAAAGGGCGGTGATGCACGAACTTATGTTGATTCCACCCGATATGAGCTCCTCACCGTGATTGCTTGCCTCCAGTCTGTCGCTGCCGCCACCGGGACTTCAGCTTTTTTTTCCGCGGTGAAGACCCGTCCCGCCGCTGGAGCACAAGCAGATCAACATCTCCTGTGCCACCACCGAGCGGATGGACAACCTTGAGGCCAGTACGTTAGCATTACAGTGAAGTCTTGGAGTCTGAGGCACTGCCGACGTCGGCGGCTCGACGCGTGCTCCTATTCAGTCGCCGACTTTCGACCGCCCCCGCGACGCCGCCACCATCGTTGCAAGGGCGAAGACCAACATGGCTAAGCAGAACTTCTTCCCGCCCTTGCAGAACTGGCTCACGCGAGCCATGCTCGACGAGAACGGCATCCAGTTGGAATCCGACCCCGTTTGCCGCTGCTTCCAGCTCCGCGTCAAGGATTCCTCTCAGTACGCTTGACGAAAAGTGTGCATGGCGCTCTCGGCTCTTCGCACAGGCCCTCAATCATGGGAACGATTCGCTACGACTGTTGTGGATGGCCTACCCATGGAACTTTGTATTTCGGTGGGCAAGTCCGCGTGCCAGGTCAAGAAAGAGCCTATTACTCAAACAAATTTGTCGTGATGCGGAGAGGAGTCACGGCAACCGTAAGAATTTCGCGATTTTGGAACGTGGCGATTTATTTGTTCAATGGCGACCGATCCTGCGAGCGGATCCCGCGCAGAATGTTCGGCCCAAGATCGAGTAGGCCAGTGGCAGCGTGGTCAGCCTCGGGATCGACCACCAGCGCATTATGGTCGCTATCGGTCCGCTCCTGCAGAGACCATCGCCTGACCTTTTGAGTGGGTGGCACGCTGTTTAGGGAATGGCAAGGCATTTTCTCTGGAGGAGGAGGACGAGGAGCCCAAACGAGAGGAGGGCGAGGAGGAGGAGGACAAGGTTGAGGAGGAGGAGGAGAATGTGGAGCGATGATGACGATGCTGCTGCTGATCATGATGACGATGCTGATGCTGATGATGCTGATGCTGATGATGCTGATGATGACGATGCTGCTGCTGATGATGATGATGATGATGCTGATGATGATGGCGATGCTGACAATGGTGATGAGGACGATGAATATGATGATGCTGATGCTGATGATGATGTTGGTGATGCTGATGTTGATGCTGCTGATGATGTTGCGGGTGCTGATGATGCTGGTGATGCGGATGATGTCGATGATGATGCTGCTGATGGTGATTATGCGGACGATGATGCTGATGATGAACATGATGGTGATGATTCTGATGTGCGAGGATGAAGATGATGATGATGCTGATGATGATGATGATGATGATGATGATGATGGTGCTGGTGGTGGTGATGATGCTGCTGATGCCGATGCTTATGCTGCTGCTGATGACGACGGTGATACCGATGATGGGGATGATGATGATGTTGACGATGACGATGCAGTTGAGGATGATGCTGAGGACGATGATGATGCTGATGCGGCTGCTGCTGCTGATGCTGATGATGACGATGACGATGGTGGTAATCATGGATGTGATGATGCTGCTGCTGGTGGTGGTGCTGATGCTGATGGTGGTGATGCTGATGAAGATGCTGATGGTGCTGATGATGCTGCTGCTGATGATGATGATGACGATGATGATGCTGCTGATGCTGATTCTGATGCTGATGATGATGCTGATGCTGCTGATGATGATGATGCTGGTGCTGCTGCTGGTACTGATGCTGCCGATGATGATGTTGATGCTGATGATGATGGGGAGGAAGAGGATGAGGAGGAGGAGGAGACGTAGGAGGAGGAGGAGGAGGAGGAGGAGCAGGGAGAGGATGATGAGGAGGAGGAGGAGCAGGAGGAGGAGGACAAGCGGGAGGAAGAGGGGGAAGATGGGGGAGGAGGGGGAGGAGGAGGTGGAGGAGGAGGAGGATGAAGAGTACGATGATGCTGCTGATGATGATGACGATGATGATGCTGATGCTGATGATGCTGCTGATGCTGATGCTGATGCTGATGCTGATGATGTTGTTGATGATGATGCAGATGATAATGCTGATGATGATGCTGCTGATGCTGATGATGATGCTGATGATGCTGATGATGATATGGATGATGCTGTTGCTGATGATGATGAGGATGATGATGCTGCTGATGGATGATGAAGATGATGATGATGCTGATGATGCTGATGATGCTGATGATGGTGATGATGATGCTGATGATGCTGATGCTGATGATGATGATGATGATGATGATGCTGCTGATGATGATGATGATGATGATGATCATGATGATGATGCTGATCACGATGCTGCTGCTGATGATGATGATGATGCCGATGACGATACTGATGATGATGATGATGATGATGATGATGATGATGATGATGATGATGATGATGATGATGATGATGATGATGATGATGATGATGATGATTGACGATGATGATGCTGATGAATGCTGATGATGCTGATGATGATGCTGATGATGATGATGATGATGATGATGATGATGATGATGATGATGATGCTGATGAGGGGGAGGAGTGAGGAGGGAAGAGGAGGAGGAGCAGACGGAGGAGGAATACATCACAACGAGGAGGACGGAGGGGGAGCAAGGGATGAGGAGGAAGGAGGAGGAGGAGAGGTGGAGGAGGGGAGGAGGAGGTAGGAGGAGGAGAGGGGAGGCAGAGTTGGAGGGGAGGAGGAGGCGGGAGGAGGAGGAGGAGTAAGGAGGAGGAGGCAGAGAAGGAGGATGGAGGAGCAGCAGGGGAGGAGGAGGAGGGTGAGGAGGAGGAGGACGGAGGAGGAGGAGGAGGGGGAGAGGAGGAGGGGATGAGGCGCCTGAGAATGAGGAGGAGGAGGAGGAGGAGGAGGACGAGGAGGAGGTGGATGAGGAGGAGGAGGAGGAGGAGAAGCATGTGGAGGGGGAAGCTGATGATGATGATGATGATGATGATGATGATGATGATGGTGATGGTGATGGTGATGGTGATGATGATGATGCTGATGATGATGATGGACGACGATGATGATGATGATGATGATTTGATGATGATGATGATGATGATGATGATGATGATGATGATGTGAGATGATGATGTTGATTTGTTCTGGGGTGGGGTGTGTGTGATGATGCTGCTTGCTGATGGATTGACACTGATGAGGTGATGATGATGATGATGGTGGTGGTGGTGATGGTGATGATGATAATCGCTGATGACGATGATGATTGATGTGATGTGATGATGATGGTGATGATGATGATGATGGTGATGATTGATGATGATGAATGGTGATGATGATGACGATGATGATGATGATGATGCTGCTGGTGCTGATGATGATGTATGAGCTGATGATGACTGATGCATGAGCTGATGATGGTGTGATGATGATGCAGCTGATTGATGCTTCTGATGCTGATGATGATGATGATGCTTGAAGATGATGATGGATGATTGATGTGGATGATGCTGCTGATGCTGATGATGTGATGCTGTCATGCTGATGATGATGATGATGATGAACGATGATGATGTTGATGATGATGATGATGATGATGATGATGATGATGTGATGATGATGATGTGCTGTGATGAGGGGGAGGAGGAGGAGGAGGAGGAGGTGGGGAGGTGGAGGAGGAATATGTTGAGGAGGGCAGAGGTAGGAGAGTGAGGGAAAGGGGAGGACGGTGGAGGAGGAGGAGGAGGAGGAGGAGGAGGATGAGGGCTGAGGAGGAGGAGGAGGAGGAGGCACAGGAGTAGGAGGAGGACGAGGAGAAGGAGGAGGAGGAGGAGGAGGAGGAGGAGGAGGAGGAGGAGGAGGAGGAGTACGAGGAGGAGGAGGAGAAGGAGGAGGAGAAGGAGGAAAAGGAAGACACTCACGCTGTTCAGAAGGACTTCGAGCTCGACATTTGGTTGTTGCGCCCTTTTCGCCTCCGCCTC